GAGTATCTTCATTTGAGTTGAGTCAAGAATTGACATCACAGCACTCGGGGCTTTCCCATGCTTGCTCTGCCCTCATCTTCAGCAGCCAGGGCAGAGTTCCAATACTGATAGTACCGGTCACAATCTGGTTATATTTCCATCTTGCCTTTCCTCTGAGTGTAGTGATCCAGTCAGACCCTCTGGTTACACCCAGGTGCCTTATTCTCTCTAGGCCATAATAATCGTTTCTCTACTGATTCCACTGCTTGTTTGCAAAGGGCCTTGACCACATCTGCCTTGTCATGTATCAATTCATCAGATTCACAGTATGTTCACTACCTGTGACCTTCCCAGTGAAGATTGCCACTCTGCTCGAGGCATCCCTGTCTTCACCTTTCTCAGCATGTCTTCAGAATATGTTACGACATGTATATGCATTCAGCCTCTTCATTTCCAGGTATTTTGCAATGGGATGGAATGCACTGTACTGCAATTCTTTTTAATTTCTGACTTAGTCCATGGAGTGCAGCTCTAAGGTCTGCTAGTTTTGCATTGTTTTTGCTTTTCAGTACGGCGACAACTGACTTCACATCTGTGAAGACAGCTTTGTGTTTCTCTTTATTTTTCTCTGACAGAAGCATTTCTGCTGCAGTTCTTAAGGCCTCTGCTCTAAAATTACTTGAGAATTTTTTAGTTGCAGCCGACAGTATTTTCTTTGACCCATTTGTCAGATTCAAGAAAAATCCCTCACCTCCATTTCTCGTTGAGTTTTTTGCTGATCCATCTATATGTGCATGAGTCAGGTGTTACTTGGGTATTGTTCTTCGATATAGTTGAATCTGATTTAGCTTCTTTCTGTTACATTCTGAATGTGCCTTTTCTCAATATCAATAATATTTTTTGTCAACTCAGGCAGGTGCTGTTGTGTCCAAGCATGGGGCCTGTGTATAATGTGAACGGGTTTGGATCTTGATACGTTAAGTATAGGATCTTCACTGATCTTAGTTTTTGCAATCTCTGCAAAGATTTTTTGCTTGAGTCTTTTCTTTCCTAGACCATTAAACCTTTGATAAATGGGGTGATTGGTCAGCCTTCTAAATGTTTCTGCTGTCTCTTCTGTCCTCCACTGGTTGCAGAACCATGATCTTTTCCAGCTCATTAATAGCTGTTCTTTTTCATGGACCCAATTACAATCCACATTCCTTGATTCTAAAGACCCTACTTATTTTTTATAAAGTTTGACTTAGTTACTCTTGGCCATGCTGCAATACCATATTCAAGGACTGGCCTTACTCGTTCAGTAGCTTCTTTAGAACATTTTCATCAGCTCCCATGTTGTACCTGCAAGCTCTTTCATGAATGCCCCATTCTTTGTCTTGCTCTTATTTGACTTGCCTCTACCTGTGTGTTCCATGTCAGGCGGCAATCAAATGTGACACCTAAGTATTTTGGATTGTTCTCTTGATGCAGTGTTTTTCCATTTAGCACTAGCGTAGCTGGCTGCTTTTTTATTTCAGAGGGGAAACACTGTGCATGTTGTTTTCTCTTCACTGACATTCACAAGCCATGTTTTTTACCATTCCTCTAACACTAAGGCTTGCTGATCCTATTGTTGGCTACGCTAATAAGTTCTTCACTAGTCTATATAGCTAAGACATCTGCTAAGGATTAGGTTTGAACTATGGCTGGAAAATTATTAGAAATGTCATTTATAAATGCTAAGAACGATGTTGACGACAATACTCCCACATGGAGTACACCTTGCTCTAACACCAACTTTTTGCTAGTTTGTCCTTCTACTTTTGTCCTGGCAGTTCTGTTCTCAAGATGGTGACTGATTCATTTGTACATTTTCCCACAAATAGGCATTTTTTGTAGTTTTACATTTAGTCCCTCCTTCGGTACTTAACCAAATCTTGTTTCTAAGTCGACCCAAACTGCTAGTGTATGTTTTTTCTCTTGGAAGGCATCATCTATTACCTGGTCTATATGTATGTTATTTGGCCTTCAGTGGATCTATACTTTATAAATGCTGCACTATATCTCTCTTCCAGCTGCAATTTAGGACTTCTAGTAATTACTTTTTTTACCTTAGTGCCCGGTCCTATTATCATTTCCTTTGTGACCCCATCCTTCCCTGGTGATTTCATATTTTTCAGGGAACTCACTGCCCGTTCAAGCTCTTCCATATTTATTTTTCTATCAAAAGTTCTGATTTCTCTGTGTTTCTTGGTCACTGCTTTTTTGTGTTCTGCTGTGATATCAATGTGGTTGGTGCTAGGATAGTATTCCACCCATGTATCTCTAGCCTTTCCTTTCCAATTGTTATGTTGTTACCTTGTTTAATAGCTTTTGTTTTTTACTGGCCCTTTATAGGTCATGGTTTTCCAGAATTTATTTGCATTTTTGTCAAAGTTAAGGTTTTCTGTGTTTTTCCCTGTCAGAAATGTCTAGTTATTTCATTTAATGTTTTCCTGTACTGTGCTCAGATAGTTTTCAATGAGATGTTTTCTTCAGTTGTTTGTTCTCTTTCTGCTGTATTTCTGACATCTTCGATTTTTCCCTCCAGAATGTGTAGTTTTTTGGTCCAGTATGGTTCGTATGTTTTCCTCACACCTCTTGGAATGAACTAATTTGCTGCCTGCAGTACTGTTTTACTTAGAATTTCCACTATTGCCTTCCTTTTGTCATGTCGTGTGTTTATGTTTTTACAGTACTTGTCTGTGAGCAAGGCAAATTTATCCCAGTCAGCTCGTTTGTAATTCCAGCAAAGCAGTGGTTTTTCCTCCTGTGAGATAATTCATATTTACAAGTTTCACTGGTCTGTGATTGCAGCCTACTAACTGATCCAGTACAATGTGATGTTTTCTGAAGAATGTCTTTAGAGCCTAAGGCTAAGAAGTCGGGAGTGGCAATATTACACCATCTTCTAAAGTAGAAGCTGAGTTTATCTCTGGTTTGCTGATTAAATGGTGATTAGAATCTTTTTTCAAATCCTTTCTCATTTCCTCTGGTGTCAGTTTCTGGATATCCCCATCCTTCTGAGCAGCTGTTACAGTTTTCGACTACTTTGCAGTTTGTGTCATTTTTTTTTTCATTTTTGAAAGTGATTTTCTCGTCCTTTATCTCGATATCATTGCCTATAACTTATGATTCATTATTTGAGTCCACAGGTACTTCACTGCTTTATATTGAGTTTTGAATAAGTAATGGAACTCCTCCCTTGTGCCCTTCTCGGTCATAGCGTATAGCTTGATATCCTCTGATTGAAAATCTGTGATGGGCATTGTGTCTCTTAGATACATACCATATTAATTTTGTTTTCATAAGGTGTTTTGCTAGAGACATTTTTTTTTACTCAAGACTCCTTCAGTGTTTCATTGTAGTATGATGAGTGGCCTGAATGTTTGGTCAATAGTTTTTGCCCTAATGCCTTTACCTTGACCACAGCACAGAGGTAGGTGCCCATCAGTAGAGTTGGGTCAGCCCCTCCGAGGCAAGTGGCCCAGCACTAACTCTGACTGGCGGGGCTCTATGAGATTAGCATTATATTGATATATTTTAATTTGTGACATCATGAAATTTAGCATTTCTCATTGTTCACTTCCACTCCTTCAACCTGTCCAATATGGGAGAATCAAATATAATTTTTCCAACGAGATATGGTATCTAATATATTGACGCGGAAACCGCACTAAAATCTTTCACTCCCAGGTCTTGTAATCATATTAGTACAAGAGACTTGACCATCCTGGTTTGTAAGTGCTAATAATATCAGCTTTGTTCATGCATATTCTAACATTCAATACTTGCCACATGGTCTACATGTTTATTATTCTTTATTCCAGGATCCCCAAGTGTGTGGATCTAGGTAAGGAAGGTTAAGTATAACTCCCTAATGTCTATCCATTTGAAGTAGAGGCCGTCTGTTGCAATTTTTTGAAGTATATTCATGGAGTCTGATATAGTCTGGCTGCTCATTGTGCTACCCATGTGACTACTCTAGAAGTGATGATTATCTCCATGAGAAGTAAACAGTTAAAATCTTTTTTATGCTTCTTCAAAGTAACTTAAGTGTAATCACTGCTCTAACTTTTCAGTAGTCAATTTATAATTTTGATTATAAGATATATTGTTGTAATCAGCCATTTTCTCATTCGTTGGTAGATATCTCATCACTTAGGAATGAGTACAATGCTAATCATAAATTATTTATAACAATCTGAATGGGTGGTTCTGAGTACTAAGCATAACGTATGTGTGATCAAATCGAGTGTCAAATTGAGGCCAGCGTGAAGTTTGTGCAGTTTGGCCCAAGCCTGCCAAGCGAAGTAAGCATAAATGTGTAAGAACTTTTGAAGTTCACGAGGAAAAGGAAGAGGCTACATAAGTGAATGAGAGAGCTCAGTCTTGATTTCGATTCAATGAGTATCAGGCCTTGTGGCCCTTAGAATGACTGAAATTAATGTGTCCTGAGATTGTGTGAATGTGGTCAAGCCGTCCATCTGAATCGCTAAAATCACTTGCTAATTAATGCACAACTGCTGGTAATGAAGGATGCAACATCTGCTGCAATGTGGAGTTTGTGAATGCCATTTTCACCTGTTTTAAGGTGCAAGCATGAGATATGCTAAACGTTGTAGATTTTCATATATGATAACAGTAAGTAGATGTCATAAAGTTCGCCCTAGAAAACCATCCCCTGGTGCACTGACCGGGAGAAACATCTTAGTAACAATAAACGTACATTGTTTAAGGCCTAATGTTTTCAATATGTGTTCATGAGCAAGCATGCTGTGTTTAAGTCTGTGTCAATGTGTCTGAGAAGGCTGCATGAAGAGTGTGGAGAGTCACTGCAATGTTAATATACTACTTTTCATACTTTTATATACTTTCTTTTTGACAAATAAAAAAAAAGGGTATTTTATTACAAAATTCCATATAGCGTCAAACTTTTTTTTTAATAACCAAAAAAAAAAAATTCTAACAACAACAAAAAGTCCAAGAAACAATACAACTACCTTCAAGTTGTTGGCACTGAGGTCCAGCATGGTAAGATGAGGCAACACTTTCAGAGACAGTCCTAATGATGAAAGCTGATTATGAGAGAGGTTCAGTGATGTCAGGAATTCCAGGCCGGCAAAAGTATCGTCATATATGGTTATCAGTTCATTTCCGCTTAAATCAAGATATTCTAAATGTGACAACTCACTGAATGCATTTCCTGCAATTTCCTGAAATAAAGAAAAAGAAATATTTCTTTCTTTATCATATTTCTTTCTTTATCATCATCATCAGGTGCCTTGCCGACTGGCGTGGGCGATCATGCCCCTCCACAATCTGCGATCTCCTGCAGTATGTATCAGTTCGTGTGCCAATACACCTCCATACCATGCAACAAGACTGTCAAGAATCTTCTTTAGTTGCCTTCCTCTATCCCTCCTTCCATAGATCTTTCCAGCGGTCACAACATGTTCAATTTTTCCTCTTTAAATATATACATATATATATCAATATTTGTGTGCTTGTTTATGATCTATAGACTCGGAAACTACTGAACCGATTTAGCTGAAATTTTCAGGATATGTTTGTTTTGATACCCGATTTTTACCGTCATGGTTTGAAATTATAAACATTTGTTAGGAATATATACACATGAGGCGCATTTTGTAAGTAAGTTCCGGTGTAAAATTTAAAAAAAAACATTACATATAAAAATTATTTATTGCAGCTGTTATGTTGCTATAATTGAGTGATTGAACTGGGTCTCTAGTGTAGGAAGCATCGGTTTTGCAGGGAGATGGTGAAAAGAGAGAAATGAGCAATTCACGTGTGAATGTGAGATCTGGGGATTGCGGATGAGGTGGTCATTCTGTGACAGGATCCCAGAATGAAAGGAAGTGAAACTGAATCCAGAGTGATAAGTATGAATGTCAATCTGGATGAGAATCGAGTGAACGTTAGTCCTGAACACCAAGGGGTGAAGCTGTGTTGAATTACTGTTTAGGACAGCAGTTGCGTTCTACGGCCAGTTGGTTATGCCAATCGTGTACTTGCCAGTGTCCATCGTGTGAAATGTGGCTGGAGACTTAGAGCGTGAGCAATACGAGCTTGCCCAAATGGCGTTAGTGATTAATTCTACTGTTGATTCTTGTGACTTGTGTTAATAATAAACTAAATGAACTGCTGTCAACTGTTGTCGGCTGTCATTTAGAAACATGTGACAGTTGGAGAGAGGAGAAGGTTTGGCTGGAATGAACTGTGACATAACACCTAGACAACATAGTTAGTGTTGAATCTGTAGGAGGGAGACTAAGTGTATATATTTATATATATTACACACACACACGCACCACACAGACAAACCTACCTACCTACATACATACATACATATATGCATATATATATATATATATATATATATATATATATATATATATATATATATATATATATATATATATATATATATATATATATATATATATATACATCCAATGAAGTAGTTTTTGCCCACAATGTGTATGAAGGTTTCCACTCGGGCACTGAAACATGTGCTGCAGCAACTGATCTTGAGGATGCTTACAAATGAGAACTGTTGGATTTCTTAATGTTTCAGCTTCCTAAACCTAAAAAAAGTCAATTCCTTCTCAGCTAGATCTCTGCAGCCATCTTCCAATGAAAGGTAATTTCTAGCTGGGCTTTTGAACCTACAACTTTATATCCTGGCCTGCCACAGGGATCACCATTATCTCCAGTGCTGGTGAACGTTTACAGTGAGAATAACAGGTGAACAGAACACAGGACAGGGGAAGACACTGTCGTACGCTGATGATGTGTTAGCGTAACATCAGGGTAAAAACAGAGATCCGGTTGCTTTAGAACTACAAACAGAACTGAACCTCATAAACAATTGGTGTGGTGAGGCTGGTGAACTGGTCAAACCAACGAAAGCAGCAGTGACTTTGAATAAACATATTGCCAATATCCCAGTATCCTACAGCATGTAGGGCAATGCGCTACCTTCTTGATTTTCCAACCCTGCAGGACAGAATATAAATTTACTGAGCACAAGCCTACCTCAGACACATGACACCCACAACAAAAAAGGGGTAGCAAGCTAAAGAAAGGAAAACTGTGGATGGGTCAGGCTGAGGACATTATTTAGCAGGTGTGCTCTCTTGAGGACATAGAATCTAGTGAGGAATGATTACAAGTGCCAGAAGAATGCTGCTGTACGGCCTTGTCTGTTTGCATCCGAATAGACAGAAAAAGGCACACATCAAAGTCCAGCCGCTATGGAGGCAGAAATGCAAGCTTTTATTTTCAAGAATTCTCTAGAGGGGGACGCTGCCATTTACACAGATAGGTCTCTGGTTCACCACATGAAGAAAACTCACGGGCTTTTTAGCTCAGATTTGAATTAGAATTGTGAAGCAAGATTCTGCTGCTTTCACCTTGATTACAAGTGGTCTGATTACGTAGATCATAGCAGTGACTAAAGCAATAATATGGCTGCAGACACAAGTCGTTACCCCTGCATGTTTTCTCTGTGACTCAATGAGTATGCTCAGGAAAATAGAGACTGGCTGGGTCTGAAGACAATGGTTGGAATTTCTGAGGTGGTCAGGGCTGATGCATATCAGTTTTATTTTCATACCAAGACACACAGGTGTGCAAGGAAATGAGCAAGCTGATAGGTTTGCAGCTAAAACTACCGCGGGTGGTGGTCGCGCCATGGACCATGCTGATTTACTGAATGCTCTATGAGAAGTGAGACATTTATAAGGTTCAAGTGTTGACTGTGAATCTGCACCCATGACCAGATGACCAGACTGTTAAAACAGCATATTAAAAGGGGTGTGGCCAGGCAAGAGCAATATTTGGGAAGCCAAAGAAAAATAGGAAACAAACACAGGACTGGTGTCATCAGCCACTACATGCTGCTGCATTTACTGAGAAGGGGATCCGAGCAACTGTGGATTGAATGGTTTGATGTGCAGTTTGATAATCTGTCGGCTAAGTAACTAGCTAGCCAGCTCTTACAGGGGACTGGACCTAACCGGAAGTCTCAGTTGTGTGGCTTCTCAGGATGATAGTGTTAAGACTTAGTTGGTTGGTTAGTTGGGTTATCATCATTGCACTCCGGACATGTCCATAGGTGCTCAGATCCTCCCCTCAGTATGAACCCCAACGTTCGATGGCTAATAGTACCAGTTCTATGTTGATTAACAAGTCTTCTGACGTGTCCGGTGTGCGTCTCGTTTTTTGCTGTGCCGATCTTAATTCCCAAGTCTGCTGTTAAGACTTATCTTCTCACAAGCAACAGTGATATATTTAAGAGTGCTTAACTATTTTGCACACAATACTGCCCCAAAAAATGAAATGTTACAAATTTAATGTGAAGTAGATATGGCTGAACTATGAAAGTCAGTATCAGAAAGTAAATTAAAGTGCATTTTTAAAATCCCTGACTCAATGTCATTATCCTGTTGTATTTTGTTATCACAAGTGGTTGATAGTCAACTGCACTCAGTTAGTTAGTTAAATTTAGTTAGTTAGTTAGTTAGTTAGTTAGTTAGTTAGTTAGTTAGTTAGTTAGTTAGTTAGTTAGGTTTTCATCACTGCACTCCAGACATGTCTATAAGTGCTCAGATCCTTCCCTCAGGATGAACCCCAGCGTCCAGTGGCTAATACTACCAGTTCTATGCTGATTAACAAGTCCTCTGATGTGCGTGATATGGAATGATTCATGCCATTGTCTTTGCACCGAACCTGCTGAACCTCCAGATCATACTCACTGAATCAGTGAGTACATGCGTGGGTGTAGTTTTGTGTTTCGGTCAACTGCACTATTCCAATCTATCATGTGCAATCCTTTTAATATAATGTATGGCAGATTTATTCAACTGGTGGCACACGGGTCAAATCTGGCCTGCAGAGGTTTAGCAAGTGGCTAGTGAAACACTGCATTATTGATCTTTCTATGCTAGGGCTCTGGCCTCTCATCATGAAGAACAATATTTTTTTTTTTATTTTCGCCCCTGGAAAACTTGGTTGAAAAGCCTTGATGTATGGAATCCATCCTGGCACCTCTTGCTTCTCTCATCTGCAAACATCATAGTCGAGTGTCAAATTGAGGCCAGCGTGAAGTTTGTGCAGTTTGGCCCAAGCCTGCCAAGCGAAGTAAGCATAAATGTGTAAGAACTTTTGAAGTTCACGAGGAAAAGGAAGAGGCTACATAAGTGAATGAGAGAGCTCAGTCTTGATTTCGATTCAATGAGTATCAGGCCTTGTGGCCCTTAGAATGACTGAAATTAATGTGTCCTGAGATTGTGTGAATGTGGTCAAGCCGTCCATCTGAATCGCTAAAATCACTTGCTAATTAATGCACAACTGCTGGTAATGAAGGATGCAACATCTGCTGCAATGTGGAGTTTGTGAATGCCATTTTCACCTGTTTTAAGGTGCAAGCATGAGATATGCTAAACGTTGTAGATTTTCATATATGATAACAGTAAGTAGATGTCATAAAGTTCGCCCTAGAAAACCATCCCCTGATGCACTGACCAGGAGAAACATCTTAGTAACAATAAACGTACATTGTTTAAGGCCTAATGTTTTCAATATGTGTTCATGAGCAAGCATGCTGTGTTTAAATCTGTGTCAATGTGTCTGAGAAGGCTGCATGAAGAGTGTGGAGAGTCACTGCAATGTTAATATACTACTTTTCATACTTTTATATACTTTCTTTTTGATAGATAAAAAAAAGGGTATTTTATTACAAAATTCCATATAGCGTCAAACTTTTTTTTTAATAACCAAAAAAAATAAATTCTAACAACAACAACAAAAAGTCCAAGAAACAATACAACTACCTTCAAGTTGTTGGCACTGAGGTCCAGCATGGTAAGATGAGGCAACACTTTCAGAGACAGTCCTAATGATGAAAGCTGATTATGAGAGAGGTTCAGTGATGTCAGGAATTCCAGGCCGGCAAAAGTATCGTCATATATGGTTATCAGTTCATTTCCGCTTAAATCAAGATATTCTAAATGTGACAACTCACTGAATGCATTTCCTGCAATTTCCTGAAATAAAGAAAAAGAAATATTTCTTTCTTTATCATCATCATCAGGTGCCTTGCCGACTGGCGTGGGCGATCATGCCCCTCCACAATCTGCGATCTCCTGCAGTATGTATCAGTTCGTGTGCCAATACACCTCCATACCATGCAACAAGACTGTCAAGAATCTTCTTTAGTTGCCTTCCTCTATCCCTCCTTCCATAGATCTTTCCAGCGGTCACAACATGTTCAATTTTTCCTCTTTAAATATATACATATATATATCAATATTTGTGTGCTTGTTTATGATCTATAGACTCGGAAACTACTGAACCGATTTAGCTGAAATTTTCAGGATATGTTTGTTTTGATATCGGATTTTTACCCGTCATGGTTTGAAATTATACCTGTCATTGTTAGAGACAGGTGCCTACATTTGTTAGGAATATATACACATGAGGCGCATTTTGTAAGTAAGTTCCGGTGTAAAATTTTTAAAAAAAACATTACATATAAAAATTATTTATTGCAGCTGTTATGTTGCTATAATTGAGTGATTGAACTGGGTCTCTAGTGTAGGAAGCATGGGTTTTGCAGGGAGATGGTGAAAAGAGAGAAATGAGCAATTCACGTGTGAATGTGAGATCTGGGGATTGCGGATGAGGTGGTCATTCTGTGACAGGATCCCAGAATGAAAGGAAGTGAAACTGAATCCAGAGTGATAAGTATGAACGTGGATCTGGATGAGAATCGAGTGAACATTAGTCCTGAACACCAAGGGGTGAAGCTGTGTTGAATTACTGTTTAGGACAGCAGTTGCGTTCTACGGCCAGTTGGTTATGCCAGTCGTGTACTTGCCAGTGTCCATCGTGTGAAATGTGGCTGGAGACTTAGAGCGTGAGCAATACGAGCTTGCCCAAATGGCGTTAGTGATTAATTCTACTGTTGTTTCTTGTGACATGTGTTAATAATAAACTAAATGAACTGCTGTCAACTGTTGTCGGCTGTCATTTAGAAACATGTGACAGTTGGAGAGAGGAGAAGGTTTGGCTGGAATGAACTGTGACATAACACCTAGACAACATAGTTAGTGTTGAATCTGTAGGAGGGAGACTAAGTGTATATATTTATATATATTACACACACACACCACCCAGACATACCTACCTACCTACCTACATACATACATACATACATACATATATATATATATATATATATATATATATATATATATATATATATATATATATATATATATATATATATGTGTAGTAGTTTTTGCCCACAATGTGTATGAAGGTTTCCACTCAGGCATTGAAACATGTGCTGCAGCAACTGATCTTGAGGATGCTCACAACTGAGAACTGTTGGATTTCTTAATGTTTCAGCTTCCTAAACCTAAAAAAAGTCAATTCCTTCTCAGCTAGATCTCTGCAGCCATCTTCCAATGAAAGGTAATTTCTAGACATGGTAGCTGGGCTTTTGAACCTACAACTTTATATCCTGGCCTGCCACAGGGATCACCATTATCTCCAGTGCTGGTGAACGTTTACAGTGAGAATAACAGGTGAACAGAACACAGGACAGGGGAAGACACTGTCGTACGCTGATGATGTGTTAGCGTAACATCAGGGTAAAAACAGAGATCCGGTTGCTTTAGAACTACAAACAGAACTGAACCTCATAAACAATTGGCGTGGTGAGGCTGGTGAACTGGTCAAACCAACAAAAGCAGCAGTGACTTTGAATAAACATATTGCCAATATCCCAGTATCCTACAGCATGTAGGGCAATGCGCTACCTTCTTGATTTTCCAACCCTGCAGGACAGAATATAAATTTGCTGAGCACGAGCCTACCTCAGACACATGACACCCACAACAGAAAAGGGGTAGTAGGCTAAAGAAAGGAAAACTGTGGATGGGTCAGGCTGAGGACATTATTTAGCAGGTGTGCTCTCTTGAGGACATAGAATCTAGTGAGGAATGATTACAAGTGCCAGAAGAAGGCTGTACGGCCTTGTCTGTTTGCATCCGAATAGACAGAAAAAGGCACACATCAAAGTCCAGCCGCTATGGAGGCAGAAATGCAAGCTTTTATTTTCAAGAATTCTTTAGAGGGGGACGCTGTCATTTACACAGATAGGTCTCTGGTTCACCACATGAAGAAAACTCACGAGCTTTTTAGCTCAGATTTGAATTAGAATTGTGAAGCAAGATTCTGCTGCTTTCACCTTGATTACAAGTGGTCTGATTACGTAGATCATAGCAGTGACTAAAGCAATAATATGGCTGCAGACACAAGTCGTTACCCCTGCATGTTTTCTCTGTGACTCAATGAGTATGCTCAGGAAAATAGAGACTGGCTGGGTCTGAAGACAATGGTTGGAATCTCTGAGGTGGTCAGGGCTGATGCATATCAGTTTTATTTTCATACCAAGACACACAGGTGTGCAAGGAAATGAGCAAGCTGATAGGTTTGCAGCTAAAACTACCGCGGGTGGTGGACATGCCATGGACCATGCTGATTTACTGAATGCTCTATGAGAAGTGAGACATTTATAAGGTTCAAGTGTTGACTGTGAATCTGCACCCATGACCAGATGACCAGACTGTTAAAACAGCATGTTAAAAGGGGTGTGGCCAGGCAAGAGCAATATTTAGGAAGCCAAAGAAGAATAGTAAACAAACACAGGACTGGTGTCATCAGCCACTACATGCTGCTGCATTTACTGAGAAGGGGATCCGAGCAACTGTGGATTGAATGGTTTGATGTGCAGTTTGATAATCTGTCGGCTAAGTAACTAGCTAGCCAGCTCTTACAGGGGACTGGACCTAACCAGAAGTCTCAGTTGTGTGGCTTCTCAGGATGATAGTGTTAAGACTTATCTTTTCACAAGCAACAGTGATATATTTAAGAGTGCTTAACTGTTTTGCACACAATACTGCCCCAAAAAATGAAATGTTACAAGTTTAATGTGAAGTAGATATGGCTGAACTATGAAAGTCAGTATCAGAAAGTAAATTAAAGTGCATTTTTGAAATCCCTGACTCAATGTCATTATCCTGTTGTATTTTGTTATCACAAGTGGTTGATAGTCAACTGCACTCAGTTTGTTAGTTAGTTTAATTTAGTTAGTTTAATTTAGTTAGTTAGTTAGTTAGTTAGTTAGTTAGTTAGTTAGTTAGTTAGTTAGTTAGTTAGTTAGTTAGTTAGTTAATTAGTTAGTTAGGTTTTCATCACTGCACTCCAGACATGTCCATAAGTGCTCAGATCCTTCCCTCAGGATGAACCCCAGCGTCCAGTGGCTAATACTACCAGTTCTATGCTGATTAACAAGTCCTCTGATGTGCGTGGTATGGAACGATTCATGCCATTGCCTTTGCACCGAACCTGCTGAACCTCCAGATCATACTCACTGAATCAGTGAGTACACATGCGTGGGTGTAGTTTTGTGTTTCGGTCAACTGCACTATTCCAATCTATCATGTGCAATCCTTTTAATATAATGTATGGCAGATTTATTCAACTGGTGGCCCACGGGTCAAATCTGGCCTGCAGAGGTTTAGCAAGTGGCTAGTGAAACACTGCATTATTGATCTTTCTATGCTAGGGCTCTGGCCTCTCATCATGAAGAACACAATTTTTTTATTAATTTTCGCCCCTGGAAAACTTGGTTGAAAAGCCTTGATGTATGGAATCCATCCTGGCACCTCTTGCTTCTCTCATCTGCAAACATCATAGTCTTTGAGAACATAAACAAAAATATCAGACCATGGAGCAGTAGTAATTAATAATCATTGCATACTAGAGCGAGAAAGAGACAGAGAGAGAGAGAGTGTGTGTTTACATATATAAACATATAAACTCACTTTGACAAAACTTGATGTGATCTGTAAGATGACAATTTCTGATGCTTTCAAATCTTGAAAATGTGCTTTTGTAATAAGGCGAAGATCAATAACATGGTCCAGTGACAACGAATATGTTGTATTGTCAATCTGTGTGAAGATATTGAGAAGCCTTCCATTTTGGCATGACACCTCCAACACAGTAATGTTGTTGCACTTACAGGAAAGTGGGCATGCTAAACTAGGTGTTACGAACACAAACAGTGATATAGTTATTACTGTAATAGCTTCATTGGTAGCTGAATGCAAAAAGCTAGAGATCAATGAGCACAAAAGGCTCACAATTCTAAATCGTGGTAACATATGTGAAAAAACTTGCAAAGACTCAGCAGCCAAGAATCTGTGTTCACTGTCTCGTGAATGCAATCTGAAGGTAGAAAATTTATCATTTATAAAACTGACCATTTATGATTAGTAAACATCACTGAAATGCGCTGAAACTGCACTTTATTGATAAGTTAAGTATTATATATGGTATTCTAAACTAAATTATTTCATCATATTAAAATAACTGAAGCTATGCAACTGTAACTACAATCTAAATTCAAGAAGATGATAATTTCCAAATATAATTAGGACCACCAAGAAACATTATAATCAGCATTTTCATTGTGCTACCAGTGACAAACTTGAACATTTATCAAAGGCTAACCTACGTAAAATGAACATCTATGAAATGAGATGCCTGTGAAAGGTCGCCATCTTAACCATCTAAGACAAAGTAAGAAATGATACTCTCACACAGACTCAAAACAACACCATGCGCCAAATTCACTGAGAAACAGTTCTTCTTATTAGAATGCAGCCACAACTACCAACACTAGCACTAAACGTATTTTGAAATTGGAATGTTGAGTTGAGTGTTGAGTTAAGAACTGACATCACAGCACTTTAGACGTTTCCATAGGTGCTCCATTTTCATCTTCAGCAGCAAGCAAAGATTTCCAATTCTGATGGTACCAGTAGTAGTCTGATTATAAATCCATCTGACTTTTCTTCTTAGTGTAGAGTGTAGACCACATTCCCTGGTCACTCCTAGCTGTACCATTCTCTTTAAATCATAATGAGCTATTCAGATGGTTCACTTCATCCTAAAGTCATTGATCACAGCTAGCTGAGCATGCATAAATTCATTACCCATTGGGGCAGAATGAGACTTCTGTCACCTTGTTCATCTCTCAACACGTCTGCATGCTCTGTAGAAAACATCCAAAGAACGCTAATGATGCTTGCCACTCTGCATGGAGCATGCTTGTCTCCACCTTTCTAAATATGCTTTGTGAGTTGCTACAATCACGACATGTGTGTGTGTCAGCTGCGTCTCAAGCCAGTGAAAACCTACTTTGACTGCCTCCGCCTCCATTCTCCAACTAGATGTTGTAGTATAATACTCTAGATTTTGTTGTACTTAGTGTCACCGTTTCGTGTTCGCAATGAACCCCCATGCACGTCTTCAGCCTCTCAATACAGAGCCATCTGTGTAAAAGATCAGATCATACTCATTGAATCAATGAGTACTCATGTGGGGGTGTAGTTTTGTGCTCTGAGCCACGCGAACGATTGCGTCACTGCCATCACCTCCATTGGCATGCTGCTGGTTGTCATGGAGAAGGTGCCATTGGCTTCTTTGACTGTTCTGCCCGCTGAGCATGCTGTGAACGCCCATGCGCTTCTTTGTTGGCGTATAACAGATCCATCTGTGTAGACCATTATGTCTGCCTCATCTGAATTTTCAGTGATGAGAGTGTTGACCACTGTGTTGACAGGATTCTGCTCCCTGCATCGCCTGTTGAGTGTGGCATTACAGGAAAATGTACAAATAAACATGGGTATCCACTCTGTACCAGGGGTGATGTCGGTTAGGCTGCATATTTGCTTGATAACATCTTCTGCCACGACCTAGCCTCTTCAGCCTGTCACCCTTTTCACTGAAAAGCGCTTGACGCAGTGTGTGTTTCTTATCAGTGCAGATTTTAAGGTATGCCCGAGCCCTCTAGATCCTGATCCTTTGGTTCATGGTTGGAAAGTCAAGTAGATATCTCAATGCTGCGCAGAAAGTGTTTCTAGTACATCCAAAAATAATGCGCTTGGCTTCATTTTACACCTTTTTAAGTCATTCAATCTGTTTAGCATTGAGGATGTCCAGAGCATATTCAATGGGAGAAAGGACCAGCCCGTACAACTGAAGTATAAGTAGTCTTTGCTCGATACTGGAAGCAGCCATAACCCTCACTGCAGACAGACCTTTGCGTGGTTTTGTTATCACATGGTCAACATGTTCCTTGAATGACAAGTTGTGATCAAACATCACCCCGAGATCTGTCATCGAGTTGATTCTAATCAATACAATCAACTATTTTCACTTTTGGTAAATCTTATACAGTTGTTAATACATAAGCTATGTAACACTGAATAAACAATCATAATTGATAGGCATGAATAAATATTATTGAAAAAGATTTGTTTTTTCTTTTTCAAACTCAGTATATCCCAGTTGTAACCCTTATGTGTTAAACAGGATATTGGTATTTAAATTACTACTGCTACTCGAAACTTGTCTTGTAAAATATAAGTTAGTAAAAATATTAAGCAAACTGTGTGATGCATCAAGCAAATAAAGCCATTGGAAGCTGTTCTGAAAAATACTTAACAAATAGAAATATGCTGGCTACACTACAATCTTGGGGAGAAAAAAATAACATAATTTGTAAGCAAAACATAATTACATCAGAGATGCAACTTTTCAAGCAATTAGTATGCTATGAAATGATGTCCAGTGTCTTTGTTTAATTAATATACTGCAACAGAAAGTTCCATGCTTAACTAATGGGAGGCCAAGTTTTAATTGCTATGAGACTTGCAATGGAAATTATAGTAAACAGATGAATTATGAGGCATCCTTAACAATATTCTGCTTGATGACACTTTAACCTATATGCTAGTAGTACTAAAACATATTTACTGGAAAATACAAACTATTTACTTTTTGTTTCTTTTGCAACAAGTACTTCATATTATTTATTCTGTATCAATTACAGTACACATCTTCAGCTAAAAATGTTCTTCTCTACAACAGAAGTTAGTTGCAATGAAATGGCTTATATTTGTGGGCATCCACTGCTGTCTTTGGAAATATAGCTGCTATCTCAGTCTCTTCCTCGGACTTACCACTGCCCGAAATAAAAACTTTAAATCCTTTGTAATGTATTTATTATTAGTAGCAGTAACTTAAACAATAATATCCTGTTCAACCCAACATGGTTATAAGGCTATAATTGGGATACATAGTGTTTCTATTTCAATAATGGATATTTATGTTGACTGCTTATTATAAATGGTATAGAAGTGAAGGGGTATAGATGATCAAGTTCAATATATTTAATTGCACTTTAAAAAAAAACTATATTAATTAGAATTAATATTGTGAATAATTGTGGAGTGTATCTTTGTGGCCCATAAAATTATTTTGGATACAATTTTTATTCTCTCTTAGAATTCATTCATAAAGAGTGACAAATCATACGTATTAATATTAATCCTTCCCTGCAGTCCTCTGGAACCATCTATTCCCAACAAATTAACGTTAATTACCTTTTTTGCAACTGGTAAACTGTTATGAATATTAATTATTATTATTATTTTACAAAGCTTATAATAAATGTCAAATGAAGTATTTTTTTTTAAATATACTACTTGATTCTAGCTGGTGATGGCAAGCAAACTGTTTCTGTAAATCTGTAACAGCAACATAGTAATGGTGAAATACAAGGTTAAGTAAGTAAGACAATCTGGCTGCCGTATCGCGTATCTGTATATTGTGAGGGAATACAATACACTACGACTACACTTAACTATTTTTATATATATATTTTTTTATTCGTAAACGGTAACACGACTGAGCACTGTTTAGTATAAATTAAGTGAATCAATTAGTAATTTATTAAATTTATCAGCCGTACTATTTACACTACACTGAGCAGGGGAATATTTCAAAGAACACAAGCCTGTCGCAGGCAACTGAGTTAAGTAGTTACTTGGGAATCCGGTACCTATGCAATATTTATTAAGAAATAAAACACTTATTAATCTTAAACTGACTCAATCGTCAGACAAATCACATTTTTTTGTTAGTGTTTATTGTCTTAAAAAATTCTTGCCCTACACTTTCAACTGGTACAACTACTATGAATAGTATAATAATATTACAGAAATACCATGTAAACCGTTTACTCCACTGAACCGTGACCAAGAAGTACGAAACGAAGTGTTACGAAGGGGAATTGGGAAAAACCGTGCTGCATGGAGTCTTAAAGCAACGCCGTCTCTAATAAATAGAATTAATCAAGTTACAGAAAGTGTATTGATTGGCACTCATAGAAAGAAGTAGAAAGATAAAAGAACACACTAGACAACATAAAAATCAAAAGCTTTAGTTACCGTGCCGGGAATTGAACCTGTCACCTCCGGACGGCGTCGGCGCCTCGCCATGATATAAATAGAGAAGGCCGTGTCTTAAATAAAGTAAGGACTGGAGTATAAATAATAGTTTTATTTTAATAACTGGGTGAATTAATGTTCACTGATAAAATTGACTGCCACCCAAAAATAACAATAAATTATAAAGAAATTGAAAATGTCACAAACTTTGAAAATCTAGGCTCTATAATAAATAGCAATAGACACCGTCTGGCAGAGATTTAAAGAAGGATGGCCATAACAATGCAAAGATTTAACAGCCTTACAATGGAAAAGATCTACGAATAATAAAGAATATGCATTGACAGCAAAAAGTAGCTATAAGAATTTTCTGAATTTTTTTCCACTCAAATTTACATCTTTTTAGATATTTTATGACTCCATTTTGGATGTTTGTTTTTTTTTGTCAAAGAAAAGTGGCAAAACTGTTCAGGTCAGTGTTGCCACTTTGGATCTTTTATATCCAAATTTAGATCTTTTTCATTGCATTTAGATACTTTTTTTACGTTTAGATCGTAAATATTTTCTAGATGTATTTCATATGGAGTTAGATATTTTATAGATTTTTCTTTCTTTCATTGTCAATTTAATAATTACTGTGTAAAATATTTACTACAATATTTTTGTTTTGGTCTGGCACGTACATTGTAGCAACTGCCATTACTTGAACTTTGAACTCTCACTGGGGTCAGCGCACAAATACCTAGCAGTCCCGGTACTGAATAATAAAAACGCGCGTAAATCATACTAACTTTGTTTCAACCGTATCCTCACTGTGCTGACTTTGCGTTTCTTTTTCATGTGATTTAACAAATAATTGCTCGCCT